ACACAATGTTTCAGGGCTATTCTTAAAGTTTTCTAGTAATATATCAGATAGTGTTTCACTGCTATTCATAAGGTTTTCACTGGCCAATTCTTTGACAAGTGAATGGCTCCTTCCTTCTTCCAAGTCCATCTTAGTCTAGAAGCTCTGTGAAATCTGTCCACCATGTATAACCTTGTTGGCATTTGCAATACCAGTGGCATACCCTTCAGCTTCACAGTAACATTCAAGCCACCGCAGTTCGACAAACTGACAGACAAGTTTGTCTCCCTTAGCTGTTCCAAACTGCTCTGCTTATTTTCTGGTCTTCCTTGCCCTGCTTGCTTGCCCAGCCTGCCTCCATACACAAAAACTCCCACCTTCCACTGGTCCTGGGGCTAGCTTACCATGGCCTGCCTCCACCCACACAAACTTCCACCTTCCACTGGTCCTGGGGCTGGGTTACAGAGAACTTCCAGAAATGCAAGCTAGCTGGATTCAGTAGGGGACATTGTGGTAGTTAAGGTTGTGTGTCAACTTGTCCCGGCCTGGTTGAGAGACTGGGCAGCTGGCGGCAGTTATTTCCCATGATGAGACTAGCAATCAGCTCCATGGTGGGATATACTACAAGCAGCTGAGTAGCTGCTTTAGGGATGTGGTCTGCTTGCTGTATATAAGAAGCAGCTTTGGGAATGGTCTCTAGCTTTTGGCGTGCTTGAATGTTTCATGTAGCTGTGTCATTGTTCAGCAGCCTGTCATGCTCTGCCAGTCTTGGGACTTTCAATGGACTTGATTTAATGGCCTTCCATATGGTTTGGTAACATTGGGACTGTGCCTTTTTACTTGGCAAACTTGGGGTTGTCAGTCTCAGTAGCCAGTAGCTATGTGAGTGAAGAAAAGCCTCTAGCTTCAGTGGGCTGGGATTAGGAGGCAGAGCTGAAGCCCAAGTTTGAGGGGGCTTTTCACCCAGCCCCTACAGCCTGGCACTTTAAACTCAGACTTAGAGCCTCCAAACTGTAAGAGAATAATCTCCTGTTTAAGCATCCCATTTGTGATATATTCTTGTCAGAGTGGCACTAGGTAACCAAAACAGATGTGGAGCAAGGGATATCATAACTGATGTCAGATGGATCTTGGCTCAAAGCAAAGAATACCAGAACAATGTTTATTTGTGTTTTATTGACTATGCAAAGGCATTTGATTTTGTGGATCTTTAAATATATTCCTTCTCCCTCACTCTTCACAACAGTTCTTTAACATTGGTAATGATATGTTTTATGGAAGAAAGAATGAACTAAAATTCATGAACTTCAGCTAATTTGCCCACAATCACATAGTCAGATGGAAGAACAAGAATTTGAACAGACATCACCTTTATTCATAAGTATGAGTTCTTAAACTAAAACTACTGCTGCAGTATCCTACAGACTCTATACCTTTACAACAACTTCCATAACAAATAATCCCAGAGACTCTAGCCAGAGAAGCCCATCACCTGCCACTGCCCCTTGGGAATATTTCCAACCTGGAGAGTTTTCTTAAGCTCCCACAGAATCTGTAATGCTTCAGGTTAAATTTTATCATCCCATTTAGGTTATGCTAGTAGCACAATAAGGGTTCTGGTGGCATAGTGCCTAAGGTATTTGACTGCTAACCAGAAGGCTGGTGGCTCAAACACACCAGCCACTCCTTGGAAGAAAGATTGGGCGATCTCCCTCCATAGTGATACCATCTCGGAAACTCAAGGAGGGGTCGCTATGAGTCAGATCTGACTCGACGACAGTGTTTGGTTTGAATGGCACAATAGTTAAATACTTGGCTGTTAACTGAAAAATTGGTGGTTCTAACCCGCCTGGCATCATAGAATGACCTGGCAATCAGCTCTCATAAACATTGTTGTTGTTTGGTGTCATTGACTTGATTCTGACTCATAGAGACCATATGTAAAAAAGAATAAAACGATGTCCAGTCTGAACCATATTCAAAGATTGTTGTTATATTTGAGCCCATTGTTACAGCCTCTGTGTCAGTCCATCTTGTTGAGGGTCTTCTGATTTTTTGCTCATCCTCTACTTTACCAAGCATGATGTCCTTCACCAGGAACTGGTCCCCCCAGTAGCATGTCCAAAGCATGTGAGACAAAATCTCTCCTCACTTCTAAAGAGTGAAAGTGTACTTTTTCTGAGACATATTTTTTTGTTCTTCTGGCAGTCCATAGTATTTTCGGTATACTTCACTAACACCCTAATTGGAATGCATCAATTCTTCTTTGGTCAGCTCTGGTAGCATAGTGGCTAAGGCACTTGACTGCTAACCAGAAGGCTGGCGGTTCAAACCCACCAGCCACTCCTTGGAAGGAAGGTTGGGCAATCCTACTTCCGTAGTGATACTGCCTCGGAAACCCAAGGAGGGGTCGCTATGAGTCAGGGCTTACTCTACGGCACATAACAACAACAACATTCATTGTCCAGCTTTTGCAGGTATATTAGACAATTGAAAATACTATGGCTTAGGTCAGTCTCACCTTAGTCTTCAAAGTGACATACATGCTCTGTCACTTTAATGAGGTCTTCTGCAGCAAATTTTCTTGACTGCTGCTTCCATGGGTATTGTGGTGAATTGCTTGAAGTGGCCCTTCTAGCCATTGTCCTCCGTTTTGTGATGCATTGTAAATCCTATTATGCATGCCTGTTTGGGGTGGTGTGGTAGTTAAGGTCAGGTGTTCAACTTGGCTGGGCAGCTGGCAGTAGTCATTCCCTATAATAACTGACAATTGGCTCTGTGGTGGTATTTTCCATTAGCAGCTTAGCAGCTGCTGATTGTTAAAGCCATCTACTTGGGTTATTTCTGTTGGAGCAACACAGGTGGAATGTACCTTGAGTCCTGCTTTGCTGGAGGGTATAACTCAAATCACCCCCCTTAGCTTCCTTGAGGATATAACTATGAATGTCCTGGGAAAGCTTATGATACCAGAACCCAGAAAAACTTGTGTATATTTGAAATAATCATAAAGTTAGACTGCCTAGAAAGTTCCAAATGGAAAAGGTCTTCAAGAGGTGAGAGCTTTGATTCTGGTTCTTCCCTGTCCTACCAGGTAGGTGGAGTTCATCTAACTTATCTTAAAGTGTTCAACCAATCCAAAAATTATTTGAATTTGTCTCAAAAAGTCCTTTGATAACAATGGAAAATAAACTTCTTTTGACTAACTTACTTGTAGTCATTAACTGTTCTATAAAGAGAGAAGATTTGTCATTGCCTCTACCCTTATCCCTGCCTTGAATGTTGATTTTCATACTTACTTACAATCTCATTATCTGGTCATTTTTTATTTGTTAAAATGTGTTCCTCAATTGGATGTGAGGATTTGAAGATAGGAACTGTGTCTTTGAATACTCTCAAGATTCTTGTGAACTTTGTCTTTGTTGCAGGTCAGTGTTTGAAGTTTTGTTTTCCTTTTCCAATTGTTATAAATTTGTTATTATAAATATAGCCTTCTCTGTAAAGTATGAAGTTGGATGAGACCATTTCTGTTTTTCAAGGCCTCAGAAACTAATAGAGAATGCAAACTTCTGTTGTCCAAATCTGTTTCATTCCTCTGTTTAGAGAGTAAGTTTACATAATGAAGGATACTACAGTATCTATATCAATTTGGATCTTGGATTTTGGAAAGCAAGTAGTGAGAGTTCGGATGATTAAATATTTTTTCTGAAATATTATCTCCATCTTACTGTGTCCTGAATTTAGGGAACATACAGTTGGGAAGCAAGGGATACCAGTATATTAAAACACATATATAACTATTACAGTTATATATATTTATATATGTACACTAATGTCATAAAACTTAAATCAAGTGTCAAGAGGTTCCAAGGAAGAATCTATAGATCCAAGGATATGTTTATTAAATTATTATTATTTATTAAATTATCAAACAATTTTTAGGCAGCTACCATGGGCCTAAGAACTAGATATACACAGCTTCCCTGTCTTCCCATAGCTTAATTGCTGATTGGTTGAGAAGATAGATAATTCACCAAGCAGTTGTAAACTAAAGTGTAATAAGTACATTAGAAAAATATGTGGTGTTAGGGGAAAACAGACCATCCTTGAGTTAGGATGTGGCCAGAAAATGTTTGTGGGGGATGAGGAAGTGAAGACTGTTTCAGTAAGTATTTATTGAGTGATGGTGATATGTTAGGCACCATTTGGTGCAGTTCGCCTACCGAAGTCAAGAAATATGCCAAAGATCCTTCAGAAGATGGCATTCGAGCAGTTTCTGACAGATCACCTAAAATGTAGGAGGCCAGTTGTAGAAGGTTCATTTCATATGGTGGTGGTGTTATGCTCTGTCAAGTTGGACCCAACTCATAGTGACCCCTCCTTGGGTTTCCCAGGTGATACCACTACAGAAATAGATTGCCCAACCTTCCTTCTGAGGAGTGGCTGGTGGGTTTGAACCACCAGCCTTCTGGTTAGCAGTCGAGTGTCTTAGGCACTATGCTACCAGAGCTCAGAAGGCACATAAAGAGCAAAAGCAGTGAGGAATTATGGGGAAGAACTTCACTGACTAATTTCCCTGAAATATTTCAACAACAGAAACTGGAGAACAACTCAATCTAATCAATTACTATTTAATAAAAGTGTCTATCCCATAGTTTCTAAGATTTTGTCCATCTGGGCTAGGTGCATGGTTTGTAGGAGGTGTCTTACTAAATGCACACTGGAAAGATGGAAGAAAATTTGGGGATGAGGGTAGATTCTTTGCCATTTTCAGGGTAGACATGAAAGTTATGATCAAAATTGTGAAGCACACAACCACAAGAAAGTTACAGACTTCTGCTGAAACATCTCAAAGGGATCAAATGAGTTGTTCCTAAAATCCTAAGCCCAGGCAACAGAGAGGTTGACTACCTGTCTGGGCCCCAGCTACAGCCAGAAGAATAGATTCCCTGATTTTGGTTCTATATGGTGGCTAAGAGTGTGTAGGTGTGACCTTCTGTGCTTCTCTCCTTTCAGACTGCTCTGCAATGACCACAGCAAGGTATCGGCCCACATGGGACCTGGCCCTGGACCCACTGGTGTCTTGCAAGCTCTGTCTCGGGGAGTATCCAGTGGAGCAGATGACAACAATAGCCCAGTGCCAATGCATCTTCTGTACTCTGGTTGGTCTTTTAATATGAAATAATTTCAGGATGAGCTTTTTGCTTTAGTTTTTAGAGACGCCAAGCAAACCTTTGGCCTAACTTGTTTAATGACAAAGCCTTCTTTATACTGACCTCTTCTTTATTGAGGTTTTAACAAAGCTATTAAAGAAATGTTTCTCTAAGTAATTCAGACTGCTGAAGTAGGTTTCCATTACAGATGTTTGTGATACAAAAGTAATCACTTAAACAGAATGTTAGAGGCTAGTAACTCAGTTGAGAAAACCTTGTTGTGGCATGAGTTGTTAAACTCTACTTAATTTTAAATGAATACTCAAATGCTTACTTACAGAGAAGGGTTAATTGTTCATAGCTAGAGTATCATTCATTTGTGTTGCCTTTCATTGGTTTAGTACTGATTCTGAATGTCTATACCTGAAATCATAATTAAGTTTTCTTAAGATGTAGTCAGAATTGCACTGGTGACCAAACAAATGGCCTCAAGGAATTCAGGGATTTCTGTATATGTCAGATCTAATTTTACCCCAAATTTTATCTATCAAAAAAGAAAATGAGGGTTCAGAATTTAAATTAATCTCCTAAGGCATCTGACTGCTAACCAGAAGGCTGGTGGTTCAAACCTACCAACCACTCCTTGGAAGGAAGATTGGGCAATCTACTCCCATAAATATTCCACCTAGGAAACCCAAGGAGTTGCTATAAATCAGATCCAACTCAAAAGCAGTGAGTTTCTGGATTTTAGTTTCATTTGAATTATTCTTCCCATTGAACGAATGCCAAGAAAATGTTCTTTAAATTATAAGAAAACAAAAAGTTGTTTCTTATTTGAACTATTTTTATATATGAACATTATGGATAGTAAACCTGGGTATTTTCAAAATGCCTACACTTAAATGTCTCTTTCTAACAGTGTTTTTTCACCCTTGGCACTAGATGTGTTCTTCTTTCTTTCTCATGTTTTACAGACTTTGTTTTATTGTGCCTCATGACCTCCTTGTGACATGGACATGGAAAATATTATTACGTTTATTTTATTGATAAAGAGACTGAACTTTGAAAAGATTCAAGTATGCATCTTCTGATTTGTTGTAGGCTAGGCTCTCACTTTCTTAAGGACAAAAGAATTTGTGGCTCATCCTGGGTCCACTCAAACACCTACCTTAGTTCTTGACTCATAATGGCTAATTAGGAGCTCTGGTAGCATAGTGGCTAAAGCACTTGACTGCTATCTAGAAGGCTGGCAGTTCAAACCCACCAGCCACTCCTCGGAAGGAAGGTTGGGCAATCCTACTTCCGTAGTGATACTGCCTCGGAAACCCAAGGAGGGGTCGCTATGAGTCGGGGCCGACTCGACGGCACATAACAACAACAACAACAAATGGCTAATTAATAAAGGCTCACTGAATCAAATTGATGTTAATCTATCTCAATATTTGTAGTTGACATCTAAGTGTCTCATTAAAGTCCTAGAAAAGTAACTTCAACCTAGAGGACAGGAATTTGCTTTTGACATTCTTCTGAGATGGGAAGGATTGGAGAAAGTGAGACACTGAAGAGAGTGGAGAGGCAGGGCTCCATCCAATTAATGGTCTGGATTCATTTTACATTTCTAGAGGGTGAGCTAAGATAATCAAGGATGTCAAGGTGGATAAAATAATTAGCTTTATGCAAAACTGCCTCTCTCTTGCTTGAAGGGCAGCCCTGTAATATCAAATAATTGTGTAGATTTCCCTTTGTCAACTGTGCCTTTGGACCTCTTTATGGTCTTTCATGGTTGCCAGCAAACTATTATGGGGATGGCCTCATGAGGCTGCACTTAGTGTTCTTTCCCTTGAAATATTCCATTTCTCCTCTTGTCCTTTTTGGCAAAGCTTTCATTTTTTTTATTTTTCTTTTGGTTTTGTTTTTTCTATTTCTAGAGAACTGTAATAAAAGTAAATAAGTAACCTTAATTCAGAACAAACAATTTAAGTTAATGAATGTGAAAGCAGGAAAATAACATTATTTTCTCAAAAAGGGGTTGCTGAACTATGGAGACACAGTGTAGCCATTGTCATTTTTATTTTTCACCACTGTTTATTGAAAATTAAAATGTTAAAATTATTTCAACTTTTGTCTGTAAATCACTATAGTGTAAAAAGAAGGAAGCACCTGTGTATTGAGAATGGGGTGGGGGCAGGGTGTGTGCCATGATTTTTTGATCATGTATATTTCTCCTCTATATACTTTGAAGTCACCCTAAGCCTTGGACAGATGTTGAGGAAGGGGCCCAGGGCATGTGAGCTGAGGCATTGTAACTGCTCTTTACTTGGGGGAGAGAAACAGAAAAGTATAAAAGACTAGGGAGGGGAGATTGTATAACACTGAAAGAAGGCGTTCTTTGAAAGACCTCTGGTAGCGTAGTGCCTAAGGCACTTGACTGCTAACCAGAAGGCTGGCGGTTCAAACCCACCAGCCACTCCTCGGAAGGAAGATGGGGCAATCTACTTCCATAGTGATATTGCCTTGGAAACCCAAGGAGGGGTTGCTATGATTTGGGTCTGACTCGATGGCACATAACAACAACAACAACACAAAGAATTATAGTTAAGTTCTGAAGTAAATTTATCTCAAAACAGAAAGGACTAGAGGAGAAAACATGGTTTTAGGAGTGAGGCATTCCTGGATTGAAATGCCAGCCAGCATTATTTCAAACCTTGCTGTTTCTGTTGGGGGACACTGAGTCAATTTTAATTGATAGCAACCACCTGTAACAAAGTAGACTGCCCCACAGGCTTTTCTAGTAGAACTGCCCTGCTGGTGTAGTGTTTAAGTGCTCTGCTCCTAACTTAAAGGTTGGTAGTTTGAACCCTCCAGCCACTAGACAAGAGAAAGATGTGGCAATCTGCTTCCGTAAAGATTATGGCCTTGAAAACCCTGTGGGGCAGTTCTACCCTAGCCTATGATCTGGCATTGACTTAACAGCAATGGGGTTGTTTTAAAACCTGGAGGAGATCTCCTGATCTTTCTTCTATGGAGCCACTGGGTCATTTTGAACCATCAGTCTTTCAGTTAAGCTCATGTTGTGCCATCAGAGCTTCTTATTTCAGACTTTAGGAAACATCATTTACCCAATCTGTAAAGTGAAGATATAAATAGTTTACCACAGAGTTTGGTTATGAACTTCAAATGGAAGAACATATGCAAAGTCCCTGTCATGTGTAGGTACTCAACAGGCCTACTTCCTTCTCATTTTGCTTCTAAGTTTGGGCTTAATTGCAAGTGAATTGGGAAAAAAAAAAAAAAAATGTGGCATCTTTGCTCAAATATATGATCTGAAGAAGAACATTTCTCTTAAAAGCTGTACCAAAAAAATAATAATAATTTTTAGGTTAAATGGGCTTCTACTGCTCGCTATGTGTTATCTCCCTTCCCATGCATTCCTCCCAAGGCATTCTAGATACCCAGTAGCATGAAGAAAGAATTAAGAAATCCAAAAATAGAGATAAATTGTTTATTATTAACCTGCATTTCTAAAATTTGTTTGAGCATGACATTTTTTTTGCCTACCAGTTACTAATATACCATTTTTATGAAACATGCTCTCTGGATGGATTTTAAATGTTTGTAGGATGCACTGTGACTTCATTGCAATGTGTAATTTTGATGAGGGCCCAGAGGGCCACTGCATCAAGTGGTGTATGGTGGGATCTGGGTAGGAGAGCAGTGCATTGGGTCAAAAATCACTGTTGTTCAACAAACTGTCTTAGCACTATGCATATTACAGATAGTATGCCAGGTTTTGGGGAATGTGTAGATGTTGAGCCTATCAAATATCTCCAACAGTTTTATTTTGGCTGAGAATGAAAATGAAATCTTAAATGGCCAAATTTAAATTAGAAACTCATATGCAAAAAAATGAAACCTGTAAGTGTGCACAACAGTTTCTATGCTAAAGTACTGGAAGGAGAGAAAGAGTTGTTGACACTTAGGTTAAAATAAGGCAGTCATGATCTGCCATAAAAGGCAATCCCATTTTCATCTTTTAACCAGTTATATAAACCTATGTGTATAGTGGCCCAGGAGATTCCATATGGACCAGGACCTAACATGTATAAAGCATTTTCTGTGAAGGTCATTTTCCACTTGATGTAGAGCTGTGCCTTAGGGATATGTGTTGATTCCCTTGTCATTTCTGTGGTGGACCATTTGAAGAAGCACTGAGCCATGTGGAAAATGACATTTGTGTACATACACATGTATTTGTGTACATGTGTGATGTCTGTATTAGTTAGGATGGGGTATGTTCTTCATTGACTTCATTGCAATGTGTGATTTTGATGAGGGCCCAGTTACCTAGTGATCCTCTCACAAGAAATATACCACAAATGTGATGGCCTTAACAAACAGGAGTTTACTCTTACAATTTAGAGGCTTTAAGTCCGAGTTCAAATTGCCAGGCTCTAGGGGCTGGGTGAAAGCCCCTCAACCTTTGGGTCCAGCTCTACCTCCTGCTCCTGGCCCACTGGAGCTAAAGACATTTCTTCACTCAGACAGCTGCTGGTTGCTGAGGCTGAGGAGCCCCAAGGTTGACAAGTGAAAAGGCACAGTCCTGATGTTACCAAACCACATGTCAGGCCATTAATTTAAGTCCATTGTAATTCTCAAGGTTGGCAAAGCATAGCAGGCTGCTGAGCAAGGACACGGCTACATGCAGGTTCCAAGCGTGCCATAGGCTAGAGACCATTCCCAAGGCTTCTCCTTATATACAGGAAGCAGACCACATCCCAAAGGCAGCTACTCAGCTGCTTGTGGTAGATCCCACCATAGAGTTGATTGCCAGTCTTCATGGGGAATAACTACCACCAGCTGCCCAGCCACTCAACCAGGCCCAGCCAAGTTGACACACAAACATAACTACCACAGGGTAGGTCATATTAAAGGAAGGAAGGAAGGGAAGTAGGGACCCAAAATCTTGGTGGTTGAAAATTTCAAACCTTTATTTTTTGCCCATGTTATAC